TTTGGCTTTAAAAATCTATAAAAATTGTATCGAAATTGGCAGTTTTGGCAGTCGACTGCCACTGGCAGCTGCCGATTTTGGCAGTCACTTGGCAGTGGCAGTTGCAATTTAAAAAAGGCTGCCAGTCGCCATTTTAAAAAATGCTGGAAGTCGCTTAGCAGTGGCAGTCGCCATTTTCCCTAGATTTCTAACTCTATCATAAAATATCTAATGGGTTACAGCTATTATTTGTTGAGTTATTGTCTGTTTTTAATTTGATGGCCCTTTGATGAGAACCTACCTACCAACCCTACCTACCAACCCTTCGACGAAAGCCCGAAATAATAACTAGAAAATTCAATAAACTATTCATATGAACATGTCTTTGAATGTATTTTTGGGGGTATCTGAATTGTGCCGCCCTGCGCCGCCCAGCGCCGCCCGGTCCGAAACTATCCGGCTCTCATTCTACCCAACTATGACCTAGGAAACAATTCTGAACAAGAGCGAGAGTTGGGCCCCGCCAACCCAATGAGTTCTCTACCAGAAAATGCACGCGTAAGGACCTCTGGCCCGTCGCGTGCTCAATTAATAAGTGATTTTTTGGCAAAATCTGAATTTAGTTGAGAATAACTCTATTCGCACCCTTAAGGCTACGGGTATCGATCAGGCTACATTTGAGGCCGTATTCCTGAAAACCTGTAAATGGTGGAAGCAGGGGTCTGGATTTTGGCCAAAAATGGAAAGCGAAAGCGAAGCGAAAGCGAAAATTTTTTCCAACGTCGATCTCGGGTTTTTACAAGTGCCAGCTTAGCTCATTCAGCGAGATTTCAACTTAAGTTTAAGCTAAAGCTAAGCAAAAAAGGCAAAATTTTCAACTCCTGGAAAGAATTCTTTTGAGCGAAATTTTCGCGAAAATTTTTGGTAAAAAGCGAAAGCGAAGCGAAGCGAATTGAAATTACAAAAAGCGAAAGCGAAGCGAAGCGAATTCGCTTCGCTTCGCAAAGCGAATCCAGACCCCTGGTGGAAGGTTTCTAATCATTTCTTAATAAAGAACTATTTTAGATCTTAAGGGACCCGGTTAGGTAGCGCCGCGCCGAACTTCAAGCGCTCGCCGTTATTCTTGTGAATGAAATTTTTGTAATTTTCTTTTTGCAAATGATATCTACAGCTCTTCAGCTTTCTCATTCAGTTTTCCGTTTTCCTCTATCACCACTCATCGATGAGCTAGATCAAAAAAGGGGAGCGCAACTTCAAAAGGCATCAAGTCTTGCAAATTTTATTTAATCTTACAGAAACCTGCACCATTAAAAAGCCCATGAAATTCTCTACAGATTCCACCTAATGCGCAAAACTGAAACATAACTTATTTCGGATTAACGGCTGATAAACCAGAAATCTTAGCGCGCTCAGCACGGCGCGGCGCGGCAGGACGCTATTTTGGGCTCCCGAGACATGATTCCTGCTGGGCGCGCGCAAGGAATTTTTGTTTGTTTGACCTGTATCGCTTATTAGTACTGTTTCAGTTTTGCGCATTAGGTGGAATCTGTAGAGAATTTAATGGGCTTTTTCATGGTGCAGGTTTCTGAAAGATTAAATTAAATTTGCAGGACTTGATGCCTTTTGAAGTTGCGCTCCCCTTTTTTGATCTAGCTCATCGATGAGTGGTGATAGAGGAAAACGGAAAACTGAATGAGAAAGCTGAAGAGCTGTAGATGTCATTTGCAAAAAGAAAATTACAAAAATTTCATTCACAAGAATAACGGCGAGCGCTTGAAGTTCGGCGCGGCGCTACCTAACCGGGTCCCTTAATTTTGTCAGAAGGAAATTTTCTTCCTCTAAGGTTTTTTTAACAAAATTTCGCCTAAAAGTTTTGATCTCGGTCGAAATTCGCCCTAAAAATGGCCGTATTCCGAGGAATGTTGCCTGTAAACATGCATATTTCATATTTTTATATGAAAGTTCGGACCTTTATCTAAATTTTGCCAGTAGTTTATTCAGAGTAAATATACTTTTACATCGAAAATATTTTTTTGAAAAATTGATCTCGGCGATTTTTGCATTTTTTCCCAATAATTAGGGGGTGCACAGTGGGAAAATCGAATTTTTTATCATCCTCTTATAATGATGAATAAATTATTCAGAATAATATATCTGTTAGGTCAGCAAGAAGCCGTTAGATCTGATAGAGATCTGGAGGCGCCCGCCGCTTTTCCACTGCGTTCAGTCTGTGCAACCATAACACAATTAAGTGTTAACTCAACACAAGTCAGTGTTCACCTAACTTGAATACAACACCTAAACTACCCTTTTACGTGTTATCTAGAGTAGGGCTCGCCAAAAAAAAATCGATGTCGATTCTCCCCTACGAATTACTAGAGGCTACAGTTAGACTTAGAGAGCGAAAAGCAATATCAACTGGTGACAACTCGTGTGCTCTTTTGCTTTCTTCGACGAACACCGGACTACTACTTCACAATAAGTAACACGCTTTCGATCGCCTGGTTTCACTCGGCCACTACGCGATCTGGGAGACTTCTGGAGACCTTTTGGGACGCTGGATTCCCGCTTATTCTTGCTCCGCCACGAACGGTGATTCTTACCTCGGAACTGCCTGAATTTGCTCACCACAAAGCCCCTGGAGGAGTAAATAAACTTGATCAGTTTATTACTCGGGGTCAACGCAGGTACTCGTTTCGACTTCACCGATTCTGCCGCCAAGTTTAACTACCGGAATTCTGCCGCTCAACTCTGGACCTAGACGAACTTATTTTCGACTGTTTGCTGACGTGTCAACCACCGCACCACAGTCAACTTGGCCCAAACTTCGCGCGCCAGGTCAAAAACAACCGTTGCCGTTGCTGATTCCGCCAACTCCCGCGCGCAATCACAACATCTCCCGCCAACACCGCTACTTCTGCTTGGACCAACCGAATTGTTGCTGATGGACTTTTGCAAGTAAAGTCACGACCCAAAGACGCGTAAAACGCGCCGCTCATAGTTTTTCAAAAACTTGAGCGCTTCTTTGAGGTAAATCAAGTCTCGTGTACACTTGACCGCTCTTTTCATCACGCCAACGACCAGGCCAACAGTGACCGCGCTGTTTGCACCACCTTCGACTTCAACAACGACGACAACGGAAGCGCCCTTTCTGCCACTGCCTCGCATTGGTCGACTCAAACTTCCCGAGACGTACTGCCCGACTTGTTATCTTCTAGCCCGCCTAGCTGGGTCAACTTTAACTCGTCACCGCCGTTGCTAAACTCCTCTTCACTTGTTCAACGTCGCCCGAAACAGCTGGAGCTGAAAAAGACGCGGATTCGCGCCACTCGAAGTAATTCGACTTGGAATCAACTTCAGTGCTCTCCACAGGTAGTAAGCCTCTTCTTCTGCCGCCGCTGATTTTCGCCAGCGCACGATTGCCCAAGAACCCGACCAGTAATTTCCACAAGTCCGCTGGGTTTCAAACGCGAAGAAATCCGTTGGCATTGCTGATCGGCCCGTTTTCGCCGACTACGCTGCTGCTCATGATGCGATCTTAACGGCAAAATTTTTTGGCCTGGTTTCGCTCACCGCCAAAAAGTTCACTGCGCATCTGCACTTCATGACTCACGTACTTCTGCACCCCGATAAACTCATCGATACTGCCGACTTCGAATACGCTCGTCGACTTCAATCGGACCTTCTCGACTCCATCGTCTCCCGCGAACTCTCCTTCTTCTCTCCCGCCGAGATTGGCGCGAGGTTGAAACGGCTGACACGTCGCACCACCGACGCAAGCGCTCATGAATCTGTAAGTGAGGCTTGTCTCAACCACGATGAACGTCTGGAAATCTACAACTGCTTGGACTTGTCAACTGAATACGACTTGATCAGTCGTGAAAGCGTCGAAGATTTTACCTCGATGGTAAAATGGGCGTATGATGTATTTGTTCTGTGGCACCCTTCGACTCGACAACACGAGGCAGATTTTATTCTAGCTGTTGCCGCGAAGATGTCTTTGGCCACGAGCATTTTGGAGAAATTGCTGCTTCTTGATGCTCAAACGGACACCATTCTTCAACTTCTGGTCGCGATTCACACGCACTTTCCGTTGAACTCGCCAGATCCAGAATCTTCTCAAAAGTCGCATAACAGACACGCCGCCGACCCTACTTCGACTCAGGAATCCGAGCAAAAGCCAGCTGATGTAAGTGCTGACTCGTCGATTTCATCGGAAGATAGCTACAGCGAAAGACTACGAGCTTTTAAGGCCGATTTTCGGATGACAGCGAATTTCAAAAGTGGCCTTAAAATGGATATTTTTTGTCTCGAGTCGGATGACAACAAATTTTTTACTTTCTTTGGAAAAAAAAGATAAATGAGGGTTCATAAAATTATTCAGAACTTAACTTTCTTTCACTGTTTTCGGAATATACTTTCAACTTATTTCCTAAAAAATAGAAATAGTATTATTTTTTTCGGCCGAACAAAGTATGAATCGTAGCCTTTTCAGAATGTGTCCTTTAAATTGAACTCAACATGATTCTTTCTTTCATTTTTTCAAAAGTAATATTCGTAAAGCATGTCTAGGGTTTTTTGGGAACGCGAGAGCCCTTTTTCGCATCCCCGACTACCCGAAATATTGATCCTTTCTTTTTGATTTTTAAGAGTTATATGTAATCTTACCTACTGATTCCAAATATAAGAAAAAATGGCAAAAAAGATTGAAAATAATCAAAAACTTGAATTTTACTTTTCGAAGGGGTAAATCATATAGAGCCGATCTTGGCCGGACGCTCATTTTTCGATATGTTTTTAATCAAACATTCATCTCTCTTCTCTCAAAAATAAATTTTCCGGGTCCCTCCGGTCGCCCACTATCGTCAGATAACTAGAGTACTCTCGGTGCGCGCTCGAAGCGCCGAGCTGAATCGCCCGCAGCGCGGTCCGAACCTTCTATTGCGAGGTGACAAAAACAGGTGGTTCGATGTGTATTTCTTGCTTGTCCAGTGTTACAATGAAATTCATTATTCCAAAATATGTTCTTGACATTAGAAGAAGCAGAAGATAAATTGATTGAAAAAGGTCTTACGACCAGAGAAGAGATCGATGCTGATAAAAAGACGAAAAGGTTCGGAAAAGGAAATTGCCGAATTCTTTACCGATTCATCAGAGCTGTCAAGGATGATGAAGAAAATTTCTTTTTCCAGAGAGACCAGATCCGAAGAGATTCACTGAGAAAGCTACTCGTCTTTTTCGAAATGGAGGTAAATTTAAACAAAAATCAAGCATCCAGTGACGCAAATTTCAGGGTCGCAAGACTTTCCTTGCAAACCTGCAAAAACGCAAAACAACAGCTCCGAACTATTGTGAAACTGATGAAGAGACAGAGGAACCGGCTGAAAACGCTTTGTTGAGGGCTGCGCTCCAAGCGAATCAGTTTTTCATCAAGGAGTCACAGGAGTCAAAAGGAAAAGGCAAAGGATCTAACAATCCGCAGCTTTCGAAAACGTCAAAACACAAGTTGATGCGTCAAGTCGCAAGCGGTGATTCGATTGCATCAATACAGCGAAACAACCAGAACTACTTTGACGATTTTGAGATCTTCCACTACTCACCAGACAACAAAGTTAGGGCTGCTCCATCCGCATCTCAACTCAACAAGCTGAGGCAACAACTTCCTCTTGCCAACAAAGAGCAAATTGATGCTTTCGTGGATAATGCAACTCGTTTAACCGCATGGGACAGATCGGGGGATAGAGGCGCTCGGACAGAAGGTGTATTCCACTGCACTTAAGAAAACTACTGGTCGGATAAACTTGAAAATTATACCCAATACTAATTTTGGGGTGTAGATTTCAAATCCGCTATCAAAATTTGCATAGCGCTTTTTCTTATTGCAGAAAAATGCCATTTTTCTATGGAGGGTTTCAAAAATTATCTCTTATTTAGATTTCTCGAAAAAGTAAATTCAATATTTGAAATCAGCAGTATCGAAAACATATAAAACCCCTTTTAGTAGACAAAATTCTTGATATTGGTTCGGTTTCAATGTGCAAACACTCAGCGGGAGGGCAATTAGGCCGCATATAATCCGGTGCAGAGGGCGGTCGGTAACCGATAATTCCTTGAAACTTGGCAGACATGCTTCAATAAAGTGAAGGAACAACCATGTTAATTTTTATCTAATTTGGACTATTCGTTCGGAAGTTATTTAGCTGAAAAGTCCTTAAGTGCAGTGGAATACACCTTCTGTCCCATGCGGTTAACACTTGGCACCGACGGAGTAAGTAGTTTTAAACTTATTATCAGACCAGCCTTCTAAGAAGGGCTTTCCTCAGACTAGCTTTTGAAAAAGGCTGTTCTCAGACTAGCCTTTTGAAAAAGGCTGTTCTCAGACTAGCCTTTTTGAGAAGGGCTTTACTCAGACTAGCATTTTTGAGAAAGGCTGTTCTCAGACTAGCCTTTTTCGAGAAGGGCTTTACTCAGACTAGCCTTTGAGGCTCAATTTAATGCCCTATGCATGTAATAATCATTGTTTTAGACAACAGCAAGAGCAAACTTGGACATCCTCAACATCACGCTGATAAACGAAAAGAAGGAGCAACTTCTTTTCGATATTTTGCTTGGCCACGGAAAAGATGGTGAGAACACATCGCAAGCCATCATCGCATCTGTCGAGCAAGACGAAGCAACTGGTATGAAGATCTGGGAGAAGGTTGATACGATTCTGAGCGATACATTCACCGGCCAGATCAATGCGAATGAACGACTTCTTCAACACATCAGACTCCGCAGAAACGATCCAAATGCTCCTATAGAAGTGCTCTGGTGTATCCTGCATACCTGCTCTAATCTCGACAAAAAAGGACATGAAGGGCAGACAACTCTCGCTCAAGAGTGTCTCCAGGAGATTAAAATTTTGTTTGGATCACCAACAAACAGCGGTTTCCATAAATTCGATATTAAAAATGAGTAAGTCTAATACTTTTTAATCAAAATAACGCTTTTCTAGTTTATCGAAAGAAATCGAAGCTCGTGGAGGAGGCAGGAACAAATTTCCCTTCACGACAGATCTAGGAAGCCGCATGGGAACAGCGCGACAGAATGCAGAAAATCTCATCATCCACTACCAGGCAGTGATGGCTGCTCTGAAAAGAAACGAAAACACGAATACCAGGGCGAAAAATCTTCTCAGCCACCTTGGGAAAGAAGGAGTCTTGCCTGAGATCGCGATCGTTGTCTTTGTCTGGTCAGCATTTTGTGGACCGATCCTTCGTACGGCAGAGAAGGAAGAATCAACGATTCAAGATGTCAAGACCGCCTTGAGAACATCTTCTGAAGAGGCCACAAGAATTCTCCAATGCGACAGTCCATTTGATACATTGTATCTTCTTGCTTCTACGAACTCTTCCAGACAAAAATTCTACAGGTAAAATTGCCTTATTAGTAAAGGGCTTTGCTCAGACTAGCCTTTTTTGAGAAGAGCTGTTCTCAGACTAGCCTTTTTTGAGAAGGGCTGTTCTCAGACTAGCCTTTTTCGAGAAGGGCTGTTCTCAGACTAGCCTTTTTTGAGAAGGGCTTTTCACAGACTAGCCTTTTATGAGAATTAATTTTCATTTTAGAGACCTCGATTTGATGATGAAAGGAGAAAGAAGTGACACTGTATCGGCAAATCTCAATGCTGCAGCTCTCGCGTCAATCAACAAGCTGAAATACAAAATCGAGAAAGATTTTGCACACTATCAGACACTCACAGTGGAGGGCCTTTATGTTTGCTGCAACCGTTTTGCAGAATCCGTCTTTGGCCTTTTCAAGGAGACAGAGCTTCACAAATCAGCGGCCAGTACAGACACTATTGTTCAGATGACAATCGCCCGAATGAACAATCTGCAAAACTTCTTCCGCTCAATGACAAAAACTCAAGTTGAGAGGCTGTGGAAAAAGATCGACTCAAAGACAGCACTATCGAACTACCATGCTGCGCGTAAAGCTACTCAAGTAAAGCTTCAGAACATCGCGAATCGCCGTAAAGAACGAATCGCCGAAGAAAAAGCAAAAAAATTGGAGAAAAAAGAAGCAAAAAGAATCAAGAAAGAAATGCAGACACCAGTGCGATCGTCCCTCCCACGAAAAAAGAAGCTTCTGTAATTCTTCAACACTCTTATCCTTCTTCACTAATATTAACTACACTGCCAGATAATTTGAAATAAAAAACAATTTAAGAAAAAAAACTCTTCAGAATTGGCAGGATTAGCGCGCGCATTTGTGCTCGCACCGAAAATTTGTGTTTATTGACGGACTTAATGAGCTTATTGAAACCCCAGAATAGAACTGCCATTAGACCGGAATGATTGCGGAATCTTTATTATGTATTAGCAATTGAAAAAAAAGAACGATTATCGGGCTTTTGAATCCATTTTTAGAGAGGCAAATATGGCTCAAGAAAAGTGCTCTCGAGCGCGAACTAGTGGACGTATCAAAAAAATAGTTATATATTTGGAATCAGCAAGAAAAGTTACATATACCAGTGAATTTTCATGAAAATACGACAAACTTCATTTTCCCGAAAAAAACCCTAAGCATGTCTTAAAAAAGAAAAAAACACGGCAAATGCTTAGAAAAAAGATATTAAGAGATTTACGTGAAGACGTCAAAGAACAGCATCACGCAGTCGAAGAACTAAAGGGGGACGGGCGGCTACGTTACAAATTTGTAACGCCGTTACAATTTTGTAACGCCGTTACAAGAATTCAGATTTTTTTCCCAATAAAAATTATTTTCCATTCCGTAATTCTTATTATTTTGGACAGAATAAGCGATAAGGTGTGCCAAAGTGTAGTTTCCTTTAATTCAGGCGCGAAGCGCCCACTCGTTCAATGATTTTGATTTTGAATTTTTGTAACGCTGTTACAATTTTAACTATTTGTAACGTAGCCGCCCTACACCCGAAATAGAGCTTTTTCAAGTGACACTGTAACTTTCGGATTTTGAACTGAAATTGAAGTGAAAATGGCCTTAAAGTGGATTTTTTTAGGATGACAGATTTCGGGAATTTTTCGAAAAAGTGGCCTTAAAAGGGTCGGCCTTAAAAGTGCTTCAAGTGTATGTATTTGGGGATGCTCACCTGGACGCGATGCGAAACCGCCCGTCTGCTTCATCTAGAACCTTCTTCCAACTTCATGCCTTGCCGAAAGTTTGGGGAGCTGGATGATATTCAAAACCTCCGTCAAAGTTGCGCCTTTGATCGGCAACAGGTTCTGATCAGCCAACTAGAACTATGCTCAAACCAAGTCGCTAACGCGCCACTCATTGTTCCAAAACATGAGTGCCCAACCAAGGTAAATCTTCTTGTTTGGTCAACTTACTGCATATTTTCTACTCGCTTGGTTCGATCTTCACAACGCGCATCACAAATTGAAACGCTTGGCTCAGCACCGTTTTCATCTCTACAGTACACTCGCACAATTTGGCCCTTTTCTTTAAAAAACTTTTAAGGACATGAAAATTCAAGACGAGGATGAAGAAAGGATCTGGGATCAAATGGACGCCCTTGAAGAAGAAATCGATGAGCTTGCCTCCGCGACCGCTCAACTACAGTGAGAGCCGAAAGAAGCCGAAGAAAACGAAGAAAACTAGGAAGCCGAAGAAGTCGAAGAAAACATGGACGCCGAAGAAGTCGCGATCATCCAACTCCCACTTAGAAGAAAACGAAGCAGTCTACATTAGACTCTACAATTCTGTCTTTCTTCAAGAAACAATAAATATCTATAAAATAAAACTTTCGTTCTATTATTAGTTTTGATAAAGAGGGTCAGGGGGCCAAATTGTGCGATTTTCAAACGTTTTAGCGAAATTCGAAAAAAGGGCCGAATTGTGCGGGGCCAAATTGTGCGAGTGTACTGTACTCCTATTGGACATCTTCCGCTGGATCATCTCTACACTTCTTCTTTCTTCAATTCTAGAGTCTCCAATCGTCAGAAGACTTCGAAGACTGGGGAGCTGTTAGGTCAGCAAGAAGCCGTTAGATCTGATAGAGATCTGGAGGCGCCCGCCGCTTTTTCACTGCGTTCAGTCTGTGCAACCATAACACAATTAAGTGTTAACTCAACACAAGTCAGTGTTCACCTAACTTGAATACAACACCTAAACTACCCTTTTCCGTGTTATCTAGAGTAGGGCTCGCCAAAAAAAAGTCGATGTCGATTCTCCCTTACGAATTTTATCTTAAAATGATCCCCGTTCTTTTCTGATTCAAATGATGTGCTTATGTCACTCGTAAGTCTTGGGGAAAAAATTCTAGAGCTAGGCCGAAATTCCAGTTTTTGGACTTCAATAACGTGCTATGACGTCATCTATTCGGAAATTTCAATATTTTTTTCAATTTTTAGCGTAACTTTTTCATAATCCTTGAAATTCAGCATTTTTTGGCCTCGTTTCAACCTAGAAAACCTTAAATATCTCGAGTTCCCCAATTTGCCCCCGCGCGGCAAAGGGCGCAAATAAAGCGCAATGATCTGTTCTATAGGGGATTAATCTCAGATCTACGGAGAATCCAAGTTAACCAGGGGTCTGGATTTTGGCCAAAAATGAAAAGCGAAAGCGAAGCGAAAGCGAAAATTTTTCAAAAATTAAAAGCGAAAGCGAAGCGAAGCGAATGAAAATTTCGTGAGCGAAAGCGAAGCGAAGCGAAAAATTTTTCTAAAAAGCGAAAAAATGCGAAAATTTTCCGGAAATATTTAACCTTTGAAAAAGTGTCCATTTTATGTATGGTTTCATTTTTATTAGTGACGCCCGGATCGGTGCTGGAGATGCCAAGATTGATTGACGTCTGAAAAGCAAGGATCGAAATTTTTGAAGCCGGGATTGAAGATGGTGATGTCAAAATTGATTGTCGGGAGGCCAATATATGAAGTTATAAGATCAATCGATTTAAATTATAATACATCGCCGTTTGTCCAATTCGCCGATTCCTCAAGTTGGACATACAGAGATCTTGGGCAAACGGCGACTCAGGAAAATGGAGACCACTCCATTCGGACTCCCTCTCCGATTTTTCAAATTGCAAATTTTCTGAGATTAGTGAGCTGAAGAGGCTGTGTGGCTCAGCTCAGGTCAATCATTTTTTAATATTGACTGCCTTGCTCAAATTAACTGAATGAATTTGAAGAGTCAGCTCAGCTCAATGATTTTTTGTGAAGGACAGCTCAGCTCAGCGCAGCTCAGAATATTGTCTACTTTAAAAACAGTAAAACTTCTCTGAGCTCAGCTTTTACAAGTGCCAACTTAGCTCATTCAGCAAAATTTCCACTTGAGTTTAAACTAAAGCTAAGCAATTTTTGGTAAAAAGCGAAAGCGAAGCGAAGCGAATTGAAATAACAAAAAGCGAAAGCGAAGCGAAGCGAATTCGTTTCGCTTCGCTTCGCTTCGCTCATGAGCGAATTCGCAAAGCGAATCCAGACCCCTGCTTCATTAGCTTCATTGATAATTTCTTTCAAATCAGCTGTAGACAAATATCTTCCGCTAAGAAGAGCTGCTAATTCTCTTTTTAAATCCATTTCGACTTCCTCAATCACGTTTAGGAGCAAACTAACTTTTGAAAATAACAACTTTGTTCTGGAGATGCACTAGAAACTCCAAATTTGTTTTCGACTTTTGAGCAAAAAAATCCCACGAAAATAATGGCCCGAAATGCGGTTTGGTGGGATTGAAAATCCCATGACAACCGAAGTGCCTGTCGTGGGATTTTTAAAAACCCACGACAGCATATTTCATTTCATGGGATTAAAAATGCCACGACAGGCACTTCAGTGTTCGCAGGATTAAAATCCCACCAAACCGCCTACAACCGTTTCTCGACTCAAAAGACGATCCCGGAAATCATCGGGAAGGTAGTCAGAGACACCAAAGCCTACCCTCAATTCCGATCTCTGGAACAAAACCTGGGAATCCTGACAACAGGCTGGATGTTGGGGTGTGGGAAGAGATTCAGCCCAAACATGATCCTGAAAAGCTTCGCCGACGCTTGGATAAAAAGAAGGGAAAAGGTCTCAAAAATGACGCGTCTAAAGTTCCGACATCAAAAACCGGAAAAAAGAGAGAGGTCCTGCGAGTGGCCTTTCTGCAAGGAAGCCAAAGAGAAATCAGCCTGGTGCATTAGACACCAAGAGGCTCAAGAAATTAAAGAGTTCCGTCAGCAACAATGCACAGAATCCTGCATGTCCAAAAATGGAATCTACCAGAGAGATCTGGTGGGGGAAAGAATCAGAATCAACAACGCCAGCGATGAATGGCAGCAAATGTACACCCGACTCTCGGAGGCCTTTAAGACCCAAAATCTTTCATCCATGGACTCTGAACTTATCCAGAGCATCCAAAACACCATTGTACAGGTTTTTGACTCAGTCTTGGAGGCATGGAAGTCATCGGCGATTCTATTCCAAGGCAATTACGACTCCAAAGATAGCCTCATGAAGCTCAAAGACCCAAAAAACATCTTTATAACGAAAAGGCCACGTCAGGAAAAGCCGGAAGCAGGAGGCATTTAGACTCTGGGTTCAAGATTGTCGATTTCTCTCGCATCATCAACCTTTTCCTAACAGGTTGAATCTTCCAACCCTTCGGGATCCCGATTGTTTCGGGATTTCCCGAAATATTCGCAGTGAAAATGGGCCTTTTTGTCTTCGAACCTTTCGGGGATGATTTTTGAATGATTTCTGTCCGAGAAAATATCTAAAGCGAATCTATCAAAATAGTAACGTCTAAGTACATCTTTATTGAAGCAAATGAAGGCACGAAGGAAAAAATAATTTAAACGAATAATTTGATTTATAACTCATGAAGTTCTCTATAAGACAGGCGCGGAACGCACACATTCTCTTTGACTGCAAATTCACAATTGAAACAAGGTATGGCCTTTTTAGACCATCGAATTTGACGAAGGCAGCTAGAGTTATCTTTTTGATAAGTAAAATGCCCGAATTCGGCATTTATACCACTTTTTTATAACGTAATCCTCAACAAAATTCCCGAATGATTCGGGCGATCTCGAAAGGTTCGGGAATTCCTGAAAGATTCGGGAAATCCCGAAACATTCGGGATCCCGAAAGGTTGGAAGTGACGACCTTCCTAACAAATCATGTCTTTACAAACTCGAAACTCGGCCTCCTCGCGCCAAATAGATTCTCCATAAATCCCCCACTAAAATGCGGAAGAGGATCGCCTGCGTTAAACCTTTCTTTTGTTCAGACTCGAAATCTTTGTGAAAATGTCGGATTAAACCGAGATCCTCTCCAAGCTGCTGGCAGACCATACAAAACTCACTGAGCAAGAGGCAAAAACGCGAGCAGCCAGAGTCCAAATCTCGATGGCCCAGTTCTTTGAAATCGCCCAGTCCAAGACACCATCGGAAGAAGCGGACAGACTCTTTATGGAAATCGAGGACATCAAGAAGGACATACTGACTCACGACAAGTTCACTGACGCCCTCATCGTAAAAGCGAAATCGACAAAAACTCCGCGCTTTATAGTCGGAAATCGCGGAACTAGAAGCGAACCGCGAGAAGAGTCTTGCAATCAAGGAAAACGAGCCAAACGCCAAAGAACGGTCCTAAGAAGACAACAGATTCTACGACCGTTGGAATCCGGCGGAGTAGAAGGCGAAAATCCGCCGTCTGATTGCGGACAAGATGGAGCGATACAGCATCAAGGGTCCATGTTCCAGCAGATCAAGGCCCGAGAATCCAAAATTGCCGAACTATCTTCGGGCGGCACGGACACTTCGGCAGTCTTCAAAGAAGTTGACCCGCTCACGGGAGAAGAGTCCTATTTCATGGTAAGCCAAAAACCCCTTTTTTCAAGCTGATGAAATATACCGAGTCCAAAACTCTCTAATTAAATTGCGCGTCAGACTCAAATAGGCACAAGCAATATGCCTGAAGACGACGGCGACTCTCTCCGGGAAATGGGCAAAGAATTCCGGGCGTTCGTCTCAGACGCAAAAAACCAGCGCATGTTCAAGAAGGACAAGCTTGTGAGACTCTTGGGCAACTATAAAAGAGCCATTTTCCCAGAATACCCGGAGCGGGCAATCATCGAAAGCATCCTGGACGAACTCATCAGGATGCCTGATATGACTCGAAAAGATGCCCTGCTCTCGCTCACGGTAAGACTCGTAATAAGCAGCCACACTGCCTGAAGTATCTTTTCAGCCACTCATGCGCCCCAATGTCCGACAAAGCTTCGACCGGGTCCTCACAATGAACTCCAATCACCACGTCTTCAAAAAGATGATCGGCAATCCTTGCGATGGCTCCGAGGATTGGCGGTCAGAAAAAGACTCAAAAACAGGTCGAGGACGCCGAGGTGGCCACAACAACGGTGGCCAACCCAAGAAACAAAAAACCGACCACCAAGGGGACGGCAAAAATCCAGAGACAGAGACAGCGACTCGGGAGGCCGCGGAAGAGGCCGAGGTCGAGGAGGAGGCAGCTCCGGAAACGAAACCAAGAAATTCCAGGACCAGGGCGGAGTTGAATAAAAACCGCCACCGGAAAAAGACCAGAAAGCTCAACAGCAAAGACTTTCAAACTAACCAACCCAGACTCTCAAATTACTAGGACTCCTTAAAAAAATTTATACAGTTTTTTATGGAATTTGTGGACATCAAATTGTGGACATTTTTCAGATTATAAGGGGTTTTCTTGGGACATATTCAAAAAAAGAGGGTATCAAATTTGTGGACATTTTTTCTCAATTGATATCTTTTACTTCTAAATTTATGGTCTTACTTTCGTAATTGAAGCCAATTTTATTTGCAAAGAACTGTTTTTCGTCAAAAATCTTAATTTTTGTTTAGATTTACGTCTTCAGATTCAATCTTGTATTCTTTTTCTCATTATTTTTGAGAAAAATCATCAAATTTTCTTTCTAGGAAAAAATTTAAACAAGTTCGTTGGGACATATTTTTCGAGGCTCTTTATCAAATTTGTGGACATTTTTCAGAAAACTAGGGGACAAAAAATGTCCACAAATTCCATAAATAACTGTAGCTGCTTCAAACTGCTGAAATTTCCAAATAGCCCATCATCAGAATTTTCAAAAAAAAGAGTCACATTTATAACCTTAAGAACCATGACTTGGCTCTTCGACGAGCCCGAGGCAGTCCGACTCTGGGAGAGCTTCTAAAAACGAACAAACCAAAACCAAGAGAAGCGGCCATCGCTTTCTTCATCTGCTTCACGACGGGGGCAAGAATGAAAGAAACGCTCAACTTGAGAGTCGAAGTCCGAGAAGTGGTCACCAAGGACGGAAACGAATTCTGGCGTTTCCACATCAGGAGCAGCAAAACCGACCCGTTCTGCAAGCGGATGGAAACCCTTACCATCCCCATGGATATGAGACACGGAGTCCCTCTCGCCCTTGAACTCAGAGCCCAGCTCAAATACCGAGACTCAGGTATCCAGTACTCCTTACTTCAAGACTCGCCAGTTAAAATTCAGGCCTCGTACTCAAAATTCTCGAAGGTCACACTCGCATCGCCTCGGACTACTAGGCGCGTTACGAATCCAAGGCAAAATTTTCAAAAAAGGTACAGATTTCGTGAAATAAAAGAGATTCTCAAGATTAATTTTTAAGGTCTCTGCGCATACAGGAAGAGTCAGTTTCTACATCGAAGGACGCCGGACAGGCTTTTCACAAAAGACTCTCGCCCACACGCTCCGCTGGGCTCCCGGAAGCTCCATGCCAAACTACTACGAAAGATGCTGGTTCGAATGCAGCACTTCAGGAGCACCGGTCAGCGTCGCAAAATCAAGAGCCAGAAAACGAAATGATAGCACCAGCAGTGACCATCCACAGGTATCGATATTTCGGATTCCAGGAATCAATAGAAAGGCTTTAGAATCAAGAACGACCAGAAGCAAGTCAAAAGCCAAAGAAGCCGAAAAATACAACTGAAGAAGCCTAAAAGAAAGATGCCTTTTTCACTTAGAATTCAGACTCAAATATAAAAGGTGACTCATTAACAATTGATGAGAATAACGAAAATGGTAGGGAGGGAATATTCCCATTACCATTGTTATTTATGCGTGATTATAATACGAACCTAGGACAAGGGATAAGCAGCCCGCCAAAAATAGAACGCGGCAGGATAGCCTCTTCAGCAGCAGCAGAAACTCCCAGGGAGCAGCGGAAGGTGTCAAAGGCGCTCGAGAGTATCTTTATTCAAGCGGGTGCCCCGAAATCACGCAGGTTCATTCCAAAAAGGTTATAGCTTGAAGCTCAAACCTTAAACGGGGAAATTATTAAGAGACTTTTTCTCAGCTGGAGCATTACCAATAAGACTCCTACCTGATTCAAAAAGACTCACCCACCCACCATCCCTGAAATAAGCAGTACAATTAGGGTAAACGAGCACACGCCCTACATACTGCCCAGTCCTCAACCTAAGAAGCTCTAAAGCTTCCCCGCTACAGTATTGTAATCGCGCGTGCTCGGGAATATTCCCATTACCATTGTTATTTATGCGTGATTATAATACGAAATTCTGAGCATTTTTAATATTTAATGTTAGCTGCTATCACTTGTCGTTTTCAAGATATGAGCGCTAGAAATCTGGTCAAAAAAAATTTTTGGCTGCAATTTTTATCAATGAGGCCTTTTTTGAAAGCTCAGAGCACGAGAAACATCATGGTGGTTTTGGTTTTGCTTTAGACAGGATATTTTGGATTATTGCCAAAATTTATTGCCATTTTTCATTTTTTGATCTGATGGCTCAGGAGGGGTCCGGATGAGTGTTATATGATAATTCTTATGATCAGTGATCATCAGCGATCAAAATCATGCAAAGAAACCCTAGTTACGTCGATTTTGAGAAAAATCAGATTTTGACCTCATGTGACCTCACGTGACCTTTAATGACCCCAAGTCACATGTTATAATGATCAGTGGATCATGGGCTTTTTATCGATATTGATAGGTCAAGAATGCCTCCACTCTATTGTGGTCCTGCTCTGCTCTCTAGTCTAACTGTAGCCTCTAAATTAGGGCTCGCCAAGAAAACTTAAAACTGTCAGCAGTTATATTTCAGTTCAAAATCCGAAAGTTACAGTGTCACTTGAAAAAGCTTTATTTCGGGTGTAGGGCGGCTACGTTACAAATAGTTAAAATTGTAACAGCGTTACAAAAATTCAAAATCAAAATCATTGAACGAGTGGGCGCTTCGCGCCTGAATTAAAGGAAACTACACTTTGGCACACCTTATCGCTTATTCTGTCCAAAATAATAAGAATTACGGAATGGAAAATAATTTTTATTGCGAAAAAAATCTGAATTCTTGTAACGGCGTTACAAATTTGTAACGTAGCCGCCCGTCCCCCTTTATTTCTTCGACTGCGTGATGCCTTGTGCTTTTATCTTTATTTTTCTTTTCGGTATTTTCCGATGTTTTTTTTCTCGACTTTTTCAATTAACGATAATTTCTCGGAATGTCTTAACCATTATTTTTCGAAAAAGCTCAGCAATTGTCTTCTTCACGTCACTATTCTTTGACGTCTTCACTAAAATCTCTTAATATCTTTTTTCTAAGCATTTGCCGTGTTTTTTCTTTTTTAAGACATGCTTTACGAATATTACTTTTGAAAAAATGAAAGAAAGAATCATGTTGAGTTCAATTTAAAGGACACATTCTGAAAAGGCTACGATTCATACTTTGTTCGGCCGAAAAAAATAATACTATTTCTATTTTTTAGGAAATAAGTTGAAAGTATATTCCGAAAACAGTGAAAGAAAGTTAAGTTCTGAATAATTTTATGAACCCTCATTTATCTTTTTTTCCAAAGAAAGTAAAAAATTTGTTGTCATCCGACTCGAGACAAAAAATATCCATTTTAAGGCCACTTTTGAAATTCGCTGTCATCCGAAAATCGGCCTTAAAAGTGCTTCACACTGTATTCGAATTTTTTTCATGGTTAACTCAGGGGTCTGGATTCGCTTTGCGAATTCGCTCATGAGCGAAGCGAAGCGAAGCGAAGCGAATTCACTTCGCTTCGCTTTCGCTTTTTGTAATTTCAATTCGCTTCGCTTCGCTTTCGCTTTTTACCAAAAATTTTCGCGAAAATTTCGCTCAAAAGATAATTTAAATTGATTGATCTTATAATTTTATATATTGGCCTCCCCACAATCAATCCTGACATCACCGTCTTCAATCCCGGCTTCAAAAACTTCGATCCTTGCTTTTCAGAAGTCGATCCTGGTTGGTTAAATATCAATCTTGGCATCTCCAGCATCGATCCCAGCTTCACATCAATCCCGGCAACACCGATCCGGGCGTCACTAATTTCAATCCTAGCCTCTCAGTCGTCAGTTCCGGCTTCTCAATTGTCGATCGTGGCTTTTTCAAGATTAGATTGACATTGGAGAAGCCACGATTGACGTTGGAGAAGTCGTAATTGACGTCGATAAACCCGGGATTGAGAATAAAAAAGCCATGATTGAAGTCGGTAAAGCCATAATTGAAAATGTTGAAAGCAGACTTGACGATGGATAGGCCATCATTGATAAAATATTAATGATATTGAAGAAGACATGATTGAAATATGTGAAGCCATGATTGGCATTGATGAAGTCAAGATTGACGTTTGAGAAGCCAAACAATGTTTAATTATCAATCTATATAAATTTATTCACATCGCTGTTTGCCCAAGATCTCCGTTTCCCATAGTAAGGTAAATGACGATTTTGAAAGACGGCGACTTGGGTAAACGGCGACGCGGGCAAACTGAGACCACCGTCCAAAAAGTAATAAAAATGAAACCATACTTGAAATGGACACTTTCTCAAAGGTTAAATATTTCCGGAAAATTTTCGCTTTTTTTCGCTTTTTAGAAAAATTTTAAGCTTCGCTTCGCTTTCGCTCACGAAATTTTGATTCGCTTCGCTTCGCTTTCGCTAAAAATTTTTGAAAAATTTTCGCTTTCGTTTCGCTTTCGCCTTTCATTTTCGGCCAAAATCCAGACCCCTGCTCCGATGTTGTTTGTCTGGGTCTGCTGTGGTCTTTCAATGATTATGTTTGATCGTTTTGCATAATCCTCCTCGATGAAAATCGCTTCATCCGACTCTTCTCGCATGATCCTTTCTGCTTTTGTTCTTGATTGGCACAGCTCCTCTTCGTTCTCACCAAGTCTCTTAACTATACCTGTTGAGCTTTCTGCTATCAAGACGAATGTGTCGGGACAATCTGCTTCTTTCGCCGCCTGCTGAAGATCTCTTTCAAGATCTTCTTTGTTCACGTGAATCGCGATTTTAATAAGTTTCATTATTAAGATTTGCGTTTGTCTGAAAGCATACGAATTTTAATTCTGATAAGCTTAGTGTCTTTTATGCCAGAACAGACTAGACAGTAAAGGAGAAGTGAGAGGTGAACCTCAGTTAAAGAAATTCTGTTATTAATGAAATAATTTTCGCAATGCGAGATTTAATTCTTCCCGTTGTAGATGAAAGTTTCATCGAACTTCTTGACATTGTCCTCAAGTTGAGCAAGAAAACTTTCCAAGTCGGTGTCTGCATCGAGGCACGGAAAAGGAATATCTAAATTGTTGGAGTCGTTTCGATTAGGCTCTCCGATTTCGTTTGCTGGTCGTATATCTGGCTGAATACTCTTGTTATTATTCAATGGTTCGGCACTCGGATTTGGAAGAATAATAGTCGCGAAATTTTATGTTGATCCTTGCTCTGAAAGAGTTCTCGCTCTTTTGGTTTGTCGATCAGTTTGTTGGTCAGTAGGTGCCGACTGTAGCTGATTGCTTGGTTCCAGTGTGTGTGTCCCTTCATGCATATTTTCGGAAAAATTACCCTGGCTACCATCTGATTTCAAAATTTTGTCAACGTTATCACTGATAACTTATCAGGCAATTGGTCAGCTTTAATTTTCTCGCCAGTGTTATGTGCCGTGAAGGAAGAGTCACCGTCGCCGACAGTTTTTGTCGTTTAGCTGGTGGGCCGGTCGCATCGGTTGAGGCGAAAGCTTCTTGGCTTGGCCGAATTCCGCCGTTTCCCGTCTGATTCATCAGTTTGTTCTCTGTCTGCAGGCTTGATTGTTGACTGTGATGGTTGGTAATAGTCGGAAGGTGGCTTTCATCGACAGCTGAGGCATTATTGTTAAATGGTGCGTAATACATCTCTTGAAATTGCACATTAAGAACTGAAAGTTTATTTATCTCCATCACTTGTTGTGCCCTTTCCTTCGAAAAGGATTCTTTTCTCGCAGAATGTCCGAAATCTTGACTCATCAATGCCATGCCTGATTCAGCCTGGCTCTTTCTAGGTTCCTCTCCTTCGGATAATCCTTGAGTAGTAGTGGATCTACCTCCGTACAGGCAGGTTTCAGCTTTGTTCTTGAATTGCTCCATCAGAATTTTCGCAATTCTTGTCTCAGAGTTGGTATCCATCTTCATAAAATTTCTCCAAAATTCCTGTCGTCCGTTGAACATTTTATCAAATGCTTCGCGCACTAGTGTTCCGATCGCTGTTATTGATCCATGCTTTGCTTTATAT